ACAAATATTACAATCACTTGCACTAGCAGTATTAAAAATACCCTATGCAGGATACTTATTATCAGGAAATAGATCAAATTTTTTAGACTACGAAGGAAACATCTTATGGTTTTATACTTGTACCAAAAAAGTATCACCACTATACGTTTTTGAAGATAAACGATGTTATAAAAGAATCCCTATCTTTTATAAGAATAAAGTACATTTCGTGGATACACTTTCACGAAGAACCTATTTCTGGGATACCGCAGTCCCATGTGGATCAGAAAATAGCCACAATGTAGTACAACTAAACCCTGATGAAAATAAATATTACCTTCTCACTCCATATCCCACATTAATGCAATCACTCAAAAAATTTTCACCAGAAAGCATTCGCGCTATCGCTCGAAACCCAAATATAGACTTACAATCAATAGGAATATACTCAAAATCAGATATTCAACATCACATTAGAACACAACAATTCCAGGAATTATTAACACAAATGGACACAATACAAAGACAATCAATTGACCAAAACTTACGCAAACTTGCAGAAACCGCAGGTTTTGCCGATATCTACACACAAGACTATAGCGGATATTTTAAAGACATTAAAGATTATATATATCTAAACGGCGAAAAATACCGTCCCCAAGATATATCACCAATTAACATTTTTAGCTTTGTTACACTCAAAAATGAGATCCTAGATTTTCTAGGATGGCCCTACTACATCTTAGAAAAATTGACTATTTTATACGCAATGTTTAACTTTATTGGATTTCTTTTCTCACTCTTAAAAGGAATCTACAACACATGTGCTATACACACACAAGTAAACAGACAAGCAAGCGTAGCACGCATACTCTTTGCAGGATTTTTTGGAATTTTTTCCACATCTATAAACAAAATTCTTTTAGACGCACAAATAAAAGAATATAACACAAAAATAACAACACGACAAAATACATACGACGAAGAACATAACAATGTCGACACACAGCCAACGGCACCACAACTACCACCCCTACCAAATAATCATCCACTATCCCTAGTCCCACGAAATTTTCGAAATTTAGCAATCACACATAATCCAAATTTTCGACTCAATACATCGCAAAGTCCCGTCCAACATATAATGACACACCAGTCACAAGATGATAATACTTATGAACAAATTATTGAACAGCCCCATACCACCGCTTTTCAATCTCAAAATAATAATTTTTTTAGCCCACGATGAGCCGCCAACTTGGATCACTACACCGATCAAATTCCCATCCAACCAATCTTACCTCTTCAATCCCAATCATACCACTTTTTGCTTTTCCGCCACCCGATTTTCCATCTAGCAATGTAACATCAGGCATGAATTCCGACACTAACTCACATATTTCAGTTTTATACTCCATCTCACAGCTAAATAACCCGAATATTGAAACCCCCGATGAATTTGCCGACTCAGAACCATCCCCATCCAATAATTTTCATAACCCTTCTAATTTTTCTCAACCTCCTTTTCAACCCATATTGTCAAATAACCCTGACCCAATCACTCCGACACCCTCTTATGCTTCCCAAGTTACCCCAACCTACTCCTCATACCAATCTGACCAATCATCTCATTCTCCAGACACCCCCCGAATCTCCCCAGAGCTAGATAATTTTATTACCCTCCAACAGCAACCCTACCACCTTAACACCCCGACCATAAACCAAATCTCCTCCACTACAAATTCATCCAATCCCCCTACACCCTCTTCAAATTATACTGAATCATTAACACCATCATCCACATCCACTATATCTTCACTAAACACTAATAGAGCTTACCGCACTTTTAAAAGAAAATTCCCCAACCATCCTTTCCCAGCAAAACCAGGAACAGCCCGTGAATACATCAACCACCCCCAGCATACTAACACTAAAGAATTTTTAGCTATCACTTTACCCTCATTTCCACAATACACCTTAAACACCCCTCACGACGCTAACGAAACACGCAACTTTGTAGATGAATACGTTTTAATGCCCACTCTCTCTTGGACCTCATACTATCATTTCACTAACCCTCTTTGCTTACCTTTATCCAGCACTTCCATCGATATAGAACGAAACAAGGACATGCTATATCAACTCACTACACCACTAACCGCTAGACAATTTACTTACGTTGGATATAAAAAATCACTAAAAATACACACTGCACCTAGAGCTAATGAATATACACTAGAATACTACGATCACAACATCATTAGAGCTAACCAAGATCAATTCTTAGACGACGATCGCTTCGCTAATCCACAAATCACCGAGAAATTTTTCATCAAGACACCATATATATTTACACTAAACATCTTCGACCGCAAGTTTGATCACATTATTTCAGAAGCACTAACAGACACACAAGCATACGAAAGTTTTAAAGAACGCTTCCAAATATTTTCACTAACCTTTCATTTCCTTGCACCACACGAAAGAGATTTACACTGCTCACACGATATTATGTTGCGCACTAAACAAACACATACATACAGTTACTATCGTTTCATCCAAAATCACTTTGACCTCCACACACCCTCTAGACAACCACACCATCGTTTCCAATTCATCAATTCAAAATACACTTCACCATATTTCCTAAATTTCACATATTGTATTAAAGACACTAACCTCCATGGTATTCTTCGTAATTATGACCCCATAACCCAAATGTACATTTTCTGCCCCATCACCAAGACCTTCAACGCCGAAGAATCCCGACCCTTCCTTATCCCGCACGAATTCCTACAACCTATAGAAATCCCAATTTTAGAATTCATCCACAACACTAAATTTAACCACAAATTATATAACTTAATCCAAAACACACCTTATGAGTTTGCAGTAGGCACTGAAGAACTAACCACTATTAAGGCACTTCAATTGCTTTGGCCACTGCTTCAAACTAAAAATATCATCCGCATCTTAGCTAAACTACTAACAACTTCAGAACTAATTCACGACATCTTCCCCCACGGTTTTTTCCCCGACGACTAACAGGTAAGTATGAATTAAATGAATATTACTAATTAATTACAGTATTAAAAACTCACCATTCTTTATTCATGTTTTCTTTAGATTTTTAGCCTTCATCCTAGATCATCTGAAAAATTCACAAAAGAAAAATAAAAAATAGCAAACTTCTTCAAAACTGTTTAAGACCCTATTAAACTTTTGCACCAACAATTAAATAAATATAATACCAATGCAGTAAATTAATTTATAAAATTTCCCCCCAAAAAGCAGTAAATCTACATATGATGAAAATTTGTATCTTAAAATTCCCCCATAACTAGCAGTAAATTTCTAAATTCTATGTAGTAAATTAATAAAATGCAATTGCAGTACTAACCTTTTGATATTTTCATTCATTCGCACAGAAATTCTATCCACACTCGCACAGCTCGCCCACAAAGAATTGTTTAAAATAATGAATTTCAGTTTCAAGTTTTCACACTCAACAACTCTAACATGCAATAACATGTTTCAAACTTTCCTTTAACCCGGTTGGAAAGGAATCATATACTAAACAAAACTAACCAACGCAGCTTACTAAATACCACAAATCATAGAATAACAGCATGACTTAGAAAAGGAAACCAACGGTACCCAAACCGGATTAACCCAGTTTAAAACTGGATAATTTATTCTTTTGAAGACTATTACAAAGTCTTAGAAAGAAATAATAAAACACAAAAAAGTCGAAAGACAAACCCATACCACAAACAATTTGCTTTTTGGAAAAAGTACATAACCAACAAGACATAAGTAAAACCACAACAAACCCAACATAAAACGTTGTCACATAACAGGACCCCTCACAAACACCGCATGAAATCATACTCCCACTCCTGGCCTAACCCACCAGGAAAGGACGTCCTGAGCATGCTCTATAGCCGGCCTAACCCACCGCGCTACATCCACGCTTTGTGACCACACCTTTATTTTTAATAAGAGCTACTCAAGGGTGAGTAACTCTTCAAAATAACCGAACTAAAACAAAAAGCTTTTGTGAAAACAACTAACTAAAATCATTATTAAAAAATATTAAACTAATAAGAGTTTTATAAAATGTAAATTCACATGATGCAATATATAGATCAGAATACAACACCAAGGACGAACATCAAAAGACAAGACGACCTCACTACACTCGAGAGAGAATGACCAACTACAATCGATATGCCGCTCACAATCACAACTCAAAGGATTTAGAGTACGACTTGACCTCGCAGAAAAGGACTTCATTGAACTAGACCAATGACCACCTCGATGTTCAAGTATACGTACAGATCCGAGTAACCAGGCATCCCCTCCACGCACAATCTCCACGCCATTCCCAAACTAGATCATACACAAAAGAAGTTCTCCACGCAGAACAGAAAAACCTGACATAGCCAACCATTCTGGAATCAGAATTGACTTTGTTGCAGAGAACTCAGTCGTTGTCACAAGAAGAAGCGAAAGAAAATTATGATGTTCGCCAAATACCAACGTCCATCATCCATCCTTGAATTACAGAAGAACTGTTCTAAAAAACTCTGTAAAACCCGGATGGGTGGAACCTGATCTAAACTATATTTTATGATTGGATAAATTAAATGTTTTACCAATGTAAAGTATTTAATATTAACCAATCATGATCCATCTAACTAACAACCCACTTATTTGTAAGTGCTGAAGTTACTTGTAATTTCAGCACCAGAGAGATTTGAATTTAACTTAGAAATTAGTTGGACTCTCCCGAGCACTTCAGCAGCCGCAATAAACCAGTATACCCTAGATCTATTGAGCCTAGCAGAGACTAGTTAAACAACCTGAGACTAGATAGTATAAGAGTAAGATTAGGATCGGTATTAGACTAAGAAGTTGCACGAATCTATCCGGCCGAAAATAAGATAGCGTGACGAGCAGACGGTGTACCCTATCCGAAATTACTCTATGAGTTACACTTCGGTCATAACTCAGATGGCTGATGTGCCAGTGTCCATGTCATATGCGGAGGCGAAGATGAGCTCACTTGTGAGACAGAGACACTCTGTGTATCCAAAGGGACTGCTGTGGTTCCTCAACTTCACCATCTCACCTGCACATAGATTTAATATTACAATTGCATTCAGACATAATTATAGACACACTAAAATTTACAAGAATGCGAGATTAATGGTATATACACCCCATGTTGATGCAATATCTTCCTCGTTAACAAATTTGATCCACTGACATTATTATTAGTCACCTGAAATATTTCGACGAAGTTTCAAGTAAGGATGAATATAAAGCGGTAAGAATTATTGTAGCTACTTCTTTTTCTTCTTCTTGGAGACTATTTCAGGCAATGCGATTATATATAGCTGAATAATTACGAAATTAATGAGAGATTCTAAATGCGGCTCGATGTCAATAAATGTACTCTCAAACTACATTTCTTGCTTAGAAACCTCTTAAACTTTTCTAACTCATGGGAATATATGGCTGTTAAAATACCGGGGGATCTTCACTTTATGGGTACTTTATCTGAATTAAGTTCACTCAGCGCAATTTAATTAAGTTCACTCTGCTCTAGAAACTAGCGGTAGAACTAAGTTCGTGCAAACTTTGAAATGACCTTTTCTGAAAAAACGGGACGATTAGGCTATCGCAGTTATGAACTAGTTAACGATGATCATACGGTCATTGCTATTTGAATCTGACTGTGAGTTCTAAATTGAATTTAACTGCAGAATATCAAATACTAGGCGCACCTAAGCAGTACGGGGGCGCATCCCCGTAACTAGAAGGCAATGTCTCTTCCCTTTTTAGGCCACTCGGTTTGGACCCGGTAGTACATATTTTGCTTCCGCCCATTCCGACCGCAATTGTGCCCAGCATTATAAATCCAACGAGGGCCATCCTGATCATCTCGATACTCAAATGTGTACCCTGAGGAATTCTGCCAATATGCACATCGGACTCGAGAAATCCGCGGTCCAATAAGGAGAGATTAGGGTCTTTTGGCCATGGTGACACCCAAGCGCTCGCATAACTGGCGGCGGGTCTCTGCGCTTAGGTGCTTCTTAGGACCGTCACTCAACAAAACGGCCCGTAGCTTTACGCATTCTTCGCAACTAAGACACACGCTTCTGCAGTGGTCGCAAAAGGACTCGTAAAATAGCTCTGGAAACCTATTTCTGGTGCTATGCCCTAAATTGATAATCCCTACCAAGACTTCCGGGAGTGATTGCTCGGCCCTCTGTGAACGCAGGTAGCCAAAATTTTTGAATGCGATATGTAGTGCGAAAATGAATCATGTATTATAATTTGAACCAAATTCGGCGGTTGAAGCGGAAGTTACTAGCTTTTGTGGAAACCAACCATTAGACAGGAATAGGCAAGTTAAGCAAAAAAAATGAGCGAGAGCATATTGGGTTTATTACAAACGACTCTAGATACCAACACCGAAAAAAGACGGCTTGTGCATAAAATGCCTTCGGCGACTCTTTCCGTAGCCCTAGCCCGGGAAAAACGATAAATGACCTTAAAAATGGGATAAATTGTGACGTACTGATGAGATATGGCTGAAACTTGCTAGATAGGACCCCCATAGTACTCTGACCCCGAAGATAGAAGATTGACCCCCTGGTGACCCCGGACTGACCTTTAACTGACCTTTCGGCATTTAGGAGGCCCTAATATGCATAGAAAACCCCAGAATTAACACAGAGGAGTAGTATATTCCCCAGTCCTACTCATTGGAAATGGAAGTTGATTACAATACTCATAATTGGGAGGAAAATATCCAGTGGGAAAGAAAGCAGAAGACAAGAGGATATAGCTTTTGAGTTGAACGTCGAAGTAGTGGATTCAAAAAGAGTGGAACTAGGCAAACCTTGGATTGAGCTTAGCTATCACGGTTGGACTATAAATAACAACTCAATCTGACTAAAGAAAAAAAAAAGGTAAGAAATAAGGCTGCTAACACAGTTTGATCTCAGCAACTACCTAAGATAAAAAAGCCCAGAGTCACGCCATGAACTTTAGGAACATACCACCGAGAATGGTCAGAACTTAAAAGCAGGGAAGAGGATTAGATTTAACAATAACTAATCCAAACAGAGGATGTAGAAGCGCATATGAAAGATTCAATCGTGATCAGAAAAAAAACAACAACATAAAAATTGGTTACCACAAAAAACAATGATGACTACTTTGCCATCAGAGCCAACCCTTTAAGGATTGTAGATAGTACAGAGTCTCAATTGTTTATCTAGAACACGATATTCGGGTGTTCGTCACTGAAAGAGATGAAATCCTTGATTCAAAAATTATCATGGCACAAAAGTTAACTTCTCACCTTTTTTCCAGTCGATGATCTTTATATTGGGTCCATCATCTCCCACAAAAATTAGAGACTCCTCTTGGTCTACAGTCAAGGCCAGTATGGGTCCAAGAAACACCTGGGGTACGTATCATAGATGGATCATTAAATTATCTTTATTATGCCCCTACTGCTAAGTTGGTTCTCGGTAAAGAGTTGAAAAATTCTTAATTTGGCACTTTCGGATCTCGCTAAATATCCCCCTGATTATCTAGTAAATGATAAACACCCCAATAAAAAAGCTTAATCAAGGTTTTAGCATACACGGATTTTATACCTAGTAACGAATCTTCCTTTAGCAATAAGGGGGATAGTTAAAGAGATCCGCACTTCCCTCAAGGTTAAATCGTCTTAAATCGATTAATAAGTTCGCAACCAGACAAAAGTCTCCAGTGATGCCTTAGACTGATCTTTCCAGCAAATCCTAGCCAAAAAAGTAACCTTAAAGTATTGGCCAGAATACACAAATGAAAAACTGTTCGATAAAAGTTATACATAAGCCTTATGTTCCACCATGCATGACTTCACGAACAGTTTTAGTTCCAGCGACCCATCTATCATACTTAAACCAACCTTCCGTTCACTCGAAACTGTCTCTCCGGAAGAAGGCTGCTTCAAACAGTCGGAGACAAAAATAGGGTTCAGAAAAAATGCCTGTCTCCTCCCTCGCTTGACGAGATGGTCCACACTTTCACTAAACAGTCTTTCGATCCGGTGACAACAATTTCATCTGAGGCCTAAAATACACTAAATGGATTAATTTCGCTGCTTATTATCCTTTTTACTAATTATCTTATCATCGGTACTGCGCTAGAAAAGTTTCTAGAATACCAGTATTTTGTTACGCATATTTTTTTAAAAATCAAACACATTGGAAGATAGCTTTACTGATACTAGAAAATAATGTATCTACAGTCAACACGCACAAACCATCAGTTAAAGATAAATTATTCTGAATATACCAAATGTGGTCAATTGAATCGTCGTGACACTTTTTACTCAGTAATTCCTGTCCGTCATTTGGATCCCAAATCTGAAGTTTGCCAGACTCTAAAAAATACATTCACATCACACAAACAGCCTACGCATAGTTTTCATTTTTCGCATTTGGGAGAAAAAACAGATCACGTTGAGGCTCTTTGAATTTCAAGAATCTGTTATGATTCACATGTTTTCATAACACTGTAACTCAAATACAGGAAATTGTGTCAGTGGGTAATTTTCAATTCCGCTGAGAGTTATAAACTTTGAAACAAAAGGTTATTCACCTTTCGCGCCATTTGAATTTCTGATATTTGTTATCGGAAATTAATTTAATTTAAGCTAATGAATTTGAAAAGAACTTAAACACCGAGGCGAAGCGCAGCTTATAATCGCTTGCTGTGCAACGCAAGTAGAGCATTGCAAGCTAGCGATAGAAAACAAGACTGAAATAAGAAAGAGAAAAAAACATTTTCGGGGAAAAATTTTCCGAAAAATAGTTAAGAAACACAAAAAACGGCATTAAATAAGTCTTTTATTTTTTTTTCGAGCGGCCACTAAGCCGACAAGGCTTTCATTGAGCCATTCTAAGCCGCTCATTGAGCCGAAAACAAAAAAAAACCATTAAAATTGTTGACATTAAAAATAACTAGCAATCAACGCACCTTCGGTGCTTCGAAATTTTTCGACAACTTATGAAAAACCGCATATATTGGAAACAACATCTGCAAACTTTTAGTGTACTCTGACTGCACCCAATTACAGGGTTGGTAATTTCGAACTTTTAAATTTGTTTAAAAATCCCATTTTAAAAGCGTCATCTCGAAAACCTAAAGGGCCTCTGGAGAAATTCGGAAGCCAGATTTGCAACCACTGAGATTCCTTGAGAGCACCCTACTATAGGGTTAGAAATCCAAAACTTTGTGAATTTTTTCAAACCTAAGTTTCCCGAAAAAAAAAATTGAAAACGTTTTATCTGGGAAACTAAAAGAATTTGAGCATTCATATTAAGAGGCAAGATTTGAGAGGCCTGGGTGTACGCTAACAATAAGATTGTATCTTCATCAACTTAGTAGTTTCTAGATATATAGTTGTAGATAAGTTCTTAGAGAAGTTTCGAAAAAATCGAAAAACGTCACATCTCGGAAACTAAAAGCATTAGAGCAGTCGCGTTTAGCAGTCGCATGTGGCCAGATTTGCAACCACTAAGAGCACCCTATTATAGGGTTAGGAATCCCAAAAATTTGAGAATTGTTTTAAACCTAAGTTTCCCGAAAAAAAAAATGAAAAAAAAAAAAAACGTCTTATCTCGGAAACTAAAAGGATTTGAGCATTCATATTAAGAGGCAAGATTTGAGACGCCTGGGTGTACGCTGACAATAAGGTTGCATCTTCATTAACTTAGTATTTTCAAATTTTTTGAATTTCTTTGTAGATAAGTTCTTCGAGAAATTTTGAAAAAGTCAAAAAACGTCAGATCTCGGAAACTAAAAGCATAAGAGCAGTCGCATTTAGCAGCCGCTTGTGGCAAGATTTGCAACTCTTTAGAGTACCCTGACAACACCCAACTATAGCGTTGGAAATTTCAAATTTTGAAAAAAAAATTAATTTAAACTTTCTGAAGTTTTCAGAACATTTTTGGAAAAATCACAAAAAAAGGTCATATCTCGAAAACTACAAAGAGTTGAGCAGTCATACTTGGAGGCAAGATTCGCAATCTTTGAGATTACTCTGTCAAGACCTAACTAAAGGGTTGGGAATTTCAGATTTTTAAAAACTAATAATAATTTAAGTTTTCTGAAAATTTTTGAAAAAATCACAAAAAAACGTCATATCTCGAAAACTACAAAGAATTGAGCAATCATATTTAGAGGCAAGATTCGCAATCTTAGAGATTACTCTGACAGGACCCAACTACAGGGTTGCGAATTTCAGATTTTAATTAAAAAAATTAATAACTTTTCTGAATTTTTTTTTTAAATCACAAAAAACGTCATGACTCGAAAACCACAAAGATTTAAACAGTCATATTAAGAAGCAAGATTTGTAACTCCTTACAGTACTCTGACAGCACCCAACTACAAAATTGGGAAATTCAAATATTGAGAAATAATTAAACAAAATTTTCTGAAAATTCTTGAAAAAATCACAAAAAATATCGTATCTCGAAAACTACTAAGAAGTGAGCAGTCATATTTGGAGGCAAGATTCGCAATCTTTGAGAAAACTCGGACAGGACCCAACTACAGGGTTGCGAATTTCAGATTTTGCGAACAAAAAATTAATATAAGTTTTCTGAAAAATCACAAAAAACGTCATATCTCAAAAACTACAAGGATTTGAACAGTCATATTTGGAGGCAAGATTTGTAACTCCTTAGAGTACTCTGACAGCACCCAACTACAGGGTTGGGAACTTCAAGTTTTCTAAATTATTTTGTTATTTGAAATTTCTGAAAGTTTTAGAAAAAATCTCAAAAATCGTCTTATCTCGAGAACTAAAATGATTCGGGCACTCAAATTGGAGGCCAAATTCGCAACATCTAATTCGATATTGGGCTGCTTAATTTAAACTCGGTAAAATAACCACTAAAATTAAATTGGAAAATCGAAAGAAAAAAATCTTAACCACTGCAATATACGATATAGCTTAAACATGCAAAAATAATACGTTGAAAAAGCTTAAACATGGCGAGATAGTGAAGCCCGCATTTAAATATATAATTGATTTCGAGTTTTTAAGATACCAATGGAGTTTTATAACATATGAAAAGTATTGACGTCCTGAACTCAAATTTATAAACTTATTTCACGTATGACTTTTTGTTAAGTTTGGGAGTTTCAAATAATTTTTTTATTTGACTAATTTGGTACAATTACAGCGCGCTATTTTTCTTACTTTTAACACTTAAGCGCTGATTTATTCTGATTCAAAAATTGTTCCTAGTTGACTGAAATCAAGCTATTTGGGCTTCCTTGCGAGACGCTAAGGTCATTACTTCTTGTTTAAGATATTAGGGGAAGAAATTCAAAGAAAAATGTGGGAAAAAATATCTTTTTTCTAAAGTTTTGTGATAATTTGTTCTGATTTTTTACTTAGACCATTTTCGGTGATCGGAATAATAGCTTTCAACAAAATTTTTTACATCCCAATGAAGATAATGATTCCCTGATGTCAAAGGTATAAAGATATTTCACCTCCAATCATTTTTTTTTTGGCTACGTTCCGGATGTTTCAAAACTTCCAATTTTGCATTGTTTTGAATTACTATACGTGCACTTTGAAGATTTTAAACAATATGGCGTTTAAAGGGTAGTGCTGATTTTTTGAGTAGCGAATTTTCCCGCACTCAAAACTGCTCGTAAAGCTTATTTTAATTTTTTAAACAAAGATTTACATTCAAAACTATTCCATAGACCTTAAGGGGCAGTCGAAACATTCAGGGCTTTTTCATGATACAAGCAGTCTTGTCTCAATGTGCACCAGCTTATACATGAATTCTATTTTCAAAAACACGAGTTCACAGTTTTTACAATTCACGACAATTCATTGGTCTGAAATGCAAATGAGGTAAATCGTTCGAAAAAAAATTTTCTTCTCTTCTGAGACCTTTTTTCACACTTAATAAGGACAACAATTATTTCCGAAATGCATGTGAAATTAATGGTTGTTTCCACTCTCCCTAACTTTTAAAATGTTTGTTTTCATACTTTTACGTGTTTTTACGTCTAAATACGTGATGTTTTTATGTTGAGTACGAAGAACAAATCTGTTCACAATGGTTATTTTATAACCATGCCATTTTTAGTGCATTATGACAACGGATTTTTTTTTCAGTTGAAATTCAAATGTGGAAGGAAGGTGGGAAAAAGCGAACTTGGAATAGTTTTTTTTTTGGTTCCGTTTTGCTATTTACGGCTAACGTTAAATTGACTGCACGTGTTTTAGTGGGCTCTGATTTCATGAGTGGACTAAATGCGACACGAGCTCAGCAGGCAAATGATGCGGAAGCCGACGAACAGGTGGGCAGATACGATTAAAATGGAAACTATATTTTGTAAGAAATAAAATGTTTCTGGCTTACTTTTGAAGATTTTTTTCACTTTTGAGATTTGATGCAATATTGTACATAAAAAGGAGCCATCATTTGAAAAGTTTTAAGTTAGACCGGTATAGCTCTGAATTACATATTAACAAAGATATCGCATCGATGATTTATTTCAACAAAAACTATCAAAAGTTTCGTTTTTTATTCAAAATCTATCAATTTTTCCGCCTTGATATTGATCTTATTTGCTTAAAATATGCATTTTGTTCTTTAAATTAAGCCAATATTTGGCAAAAAAATTGGTTGAAAATCAGTGCTTACCTCACATTGACTGTCCTTTTAAAAATATACTGCCTTCTAATATTAGATTTTTGTTCCTTGAAAAGGGAGGCACTTTCATGAGGTCTGGTATGACTACTGCAATGTCCAACCGAGACGTAAGCACAGAATCCCCCCTATCATTTTCAGAGAAATCATTCTGTGGTTCTTTTATTTTCACTATGCTCATCCTCATCTGGCACGAGTTGTTTTGCTTTAATGTTTTCATTTTTCTGTTTATAATCTAAATTAAAAGTACTGTTAAGAGAAATAGCTCAGGTCAAAACTCCTTATCATCATTCTTGTTAGTTGCAGCTGTATGAAATTTTATGAAAAAAATTTTGAATATTTTTCGTATTCCGCCCAAATTAAATGAACGGCGCATCAATTACTAAATGAATGGTTATTCAAACTATATTTTAAAGTCGTATTTAGTTTCAACCATTCAGAATCGAGCGTTTTTATTTCTACTTCATAGTTTTAAGTTATGAATTTTGGTGGAGTAAGTTAAAACATTCAAAGTTTTTCCCAAATAGGTAATACGAAAGTTTAGATGCTGTTATTGTGAGAATTCAATTGTTGATTTTCAGGACGAGTTTACTACACCAATGACACCTTGGGTAACTCTCGGACTCGTTTAAAAATAACGCTCAAGCTCCAAAAACTGTAAAAACCGGGAAGCGAACAACGCTTAGAAAGTCTCTGCGAAGTACTAAGTTCTAAATTGTTTCGCTCGTTGTCGATTCCGCGAGACACTAAACGCGTCAATAAAATTTACTGCTAATAAAATGTACCTCAAAAAATGCGTCAAGTATTTGTATGAGAATTCCTCAACATTTGGTAATTCATGTATTTATTTTTTTCTAAATTTAGATGGATGATACATTTGTTGTTTGTACTATGGAAAAATGTTTTCATATTTGTAATTTTTTTTTGAAGGTCAAAAGTATCATAGTAACCGAGGTTACAGTCAGGAGTCCCTTCATCACGTATTCCTTCATTTGCAAATTGTTCCACGAACTGTCTTCATATAGAGACGTTAATTTAAGTCCGTTCCATTCCATAGTATGGTTATTTTCTTAGCCGTAAAACTTGTTGATGGATCTATTAGCTATTAAGCTAATATATCTATGCTCAAACACTTTTTGTAGGCGCACAAGTAATTGTTCTCCACGTCACTAAGAGACTGGAATGAACTTGCTCGAAAGGGTAACATTTTTTTCTAACCAATTTTGTCCACCACAAAATAACTGATTGGGAGGGGTCAAATGGTGGTATATGAACTAGCCGAAAATTTGTAAGTGTTATATAATAGTGATGTAACAATGATGTAACAGTTACAAAAGTCATGCAAATGTTATTGATGTGACGAAATGTTTCGGCTGGTGTACTCTGCGAATTTTTGCTTTGTTTTATACTTCGGCTTGTTTATTTGCTCAAGGGCTAAACGTGGTATTCAAGCTCATTCAATCATTGGGCCATTGAAAATATCTAAAAATTGACGGTAAATGCTGACAAGAAATGTAGGTCCATTTTTTCCATTTTCAGACAAAATAACCCAAACTTTGCGAGATAAGAGGTAATGCACACAAAATTTAGACTCTCAATTTAATTCAAATACTTCGTTAAGTTTGTTTTAGACTTTATTTTTCCTATTTTACCAGTTGTTTTCTTCTATTTTAACCATTTTTCGTTGGAAAATAACCTTCAATTTTGAAAAAAAAAATAAAATTTAAGGAAACTTCTAGATTCTACAAAATCGGACAGAAATTTTCTTAAATTGTTTGCTGATGCGTTTATTGGCTTTGGTATGGCCCTATCCAACCTGTGCACGGGACTGTCGTATGACGACATTGCTCCCCTTTTACTTGATACTTCGGCTAAGTAACCCAAGCTTAAACCATTTTCAGACTAAATATCTCAAACTTTGAAGAGATATGAGGCAATGCACTCAAAATTTAGAGTCTCAATTTAATTCAAATACTCCCTTAAGTTTGTTTCAGCTTTTTTTAAAACTATTTTACCATTTTTTAAATTTATTTTAATCATTTTTCGGTAAATACTGACGGTAAATGCTGACAAGAAATTTAGGTCCATTTTTTCCATTTTCAGACAAAATAACCCAAACTTTGCGAGATAAGAGGTAATGCACACAAAATTTAGACTCTCAATTTAATTCAAATACTTCGTTAAGTTTGTTTTAGACTTTATTTTTCCTATTTTACCAGTTGTTTTCTTCTATTTTAACCATTTTTCGTTGGAAAATAACCTTCAATTTTGAAAAAAAAAATAAAATTTAAGGAAACTTCTAGATTCTACAAAATCGGACAGAAATTTTCTTAAATTGTTTGCTGATGCGTTTATTGGCTTTGGTATGGCCCTATCCAACCTGTGCACGGGACTGTCGTATGACGACATTGCTCCCCTTTTACTTGATACTTCGGCTAAGTAACCCAAGCTTAAACCATTTTCAGACTAAATATCTCAAACTTTGAAGAGATATGAGGTAATGCACTCAAAATTTAGAGTCTCAATTTAATTCAAATACTCCCTTAACTTTGTTTCAGCTTTTTTTAAAACTATTTTACCATTTTTTAAATTTATTTTAATCATTTTTCGGTAAATGCTGACGGTAAATGCTGACAAGAAATTTAGGTCCATTTTTTCCATTTTCAGACAAAATAACCCAAACTTTGCGAGATAAGAGGTAATGCACACAAAATTTAGACTCTCAATTTAATTCAAATACTTCGTTAAGTTTGTTTTAGACTTTATTTTTCCTATTTTACCAGTTGTTTTCTTCTATTTTAACCATTTTTCGTTGGAAAATAACCTTCAATTTTGAAGAAAAAAAAATAAAATTTAAGGAAACTTCTAGATTCTACAAAATCGGACAGAAATTTTCTTAAATTGTTTGCTGATGCGTTTATTGGCTTTGGTATGGCCCTATCCAACCTGTGCACGGGACTGTCGTATGACGACATTGCTCCCCTTTTACTTGATACTTCGGCTAAGTAACCCAAGCTTAAACCATTTTCAGACTAAATATCTCAAACTTTGAAGAGATATGAGGTAATGCACTCAAAATTTAGAGTCTCAATTTAATTCAAATACTCCCTTAACTTTGTTTCAGCTTTTTTTAAAACTATTTTACCATTTTTTAAATTTATTTTAATCATTTTGTATGAGAATTCCTCAACAATTGGTAATTCATGTATTTATTTTTTTCTAAATTTAGATGGATGATACATTTGTTGTTTGTACTATGGAAAAATGTTTTCATATTTGTAATTTTTTTTTGAAGGTCAAAAGTATCATAGTAACCGAGGTTACAGTCAGGAGTCCCTTCATCACGTATTCCTTCAATTGCAAATTGTTCCACGAACTGTCTTCATATAGAGACGTTAATTTAAGTCCGTTCCATTCCATAGTATGGTTATTTTCTTAGCTGTAAAACTTGTTGTTGGATCTATTAGCTATTAAGCTAATATATCTATGCTCAAACACTTTTTGTAGGCGCACAAGTAATTGTTCTCCACGTCACTAAGAGACTGGAATGAACTTGCTCGAAAGGGTAACATTTTTTTCTAACCAATTTTGTCCACCACAAAAAAACTGATTGGGAGGGGTCAAATGGTGGTATATGAACTAGCCGAAAATTTGTAAGTGTTATATAATAGTGATGTAACAATGATGTAACAGTTACAAAAGTCATGCAAATGTTATTGATGTGACGAAATGTTTCGGCTGGTGTACTCTGCGAATTTTTGCTTTGTTTTATACTTCGGCTTGTTTATTTGCTCAAGGGCTAAACGTGGTATTCAAGCTCATTCAATCATTGGGCTATTGAAAATATCTAAAAATTGACGGTAAATGCTGACAAGAAATTTAGGTCCATTTTTTCCATTTTCAGACAAAATAACCCAAACTTTGCGAGATAAGAGGTAATGCACACAAAATTTAGACTCTCAATTTAATTCAAATACTTCGTTAAAATTGTTTTAGACTTTATTTTTCCTATTTTACCAGTTGTTTTCTTCTATTTTAACCATTTTTCGTTGGAAAATAACCTTCAATTTTGAAAAAAAAAATAAAATTTAAGGAAACTTCTAGATTCTACAAAATCGGACAGAAATTTTCTTAAAATGTTTGCTGATGCGTTTATTGGCTTTGGTATGGCCCTATCCAACCTGTGCACGGGACTGTCGTATGACGACATTGCTCCCCTTTTACTTGATACTTCGGCTAAGTAACCCAAGCTTAAACCATTTTCAGACTAAATATCTCAAACTTTGAAGAGATATGAGGTAATGCACTCAAAATTTAGAGTCTCAATTTAATTCAAATACTCCCTTAACTTTGTTTCAGCTTTTTTTAAAACTATTTTACCATTTTTTAAATTTATTTTAATCATTTTTCGTTGGAAAATAACTTTCAATTTGGAAAAGTTAAAATTTAAGGAAACTTCTAGATTCTATAAAAACTGACAGAAATTTTCCTAAACTGTTTGCTGATGCGTTTTTAAGGCTTTGGTATGACCCTATCCAACCTGTGCACGGGACCATCGTATGACGACAGGACTCCACCCTGTCGTCATACGACGGTCCTTGGGGGGATGTTAACTTGGTCCTCTTTTCCTTAGTCTTCACTAGTCTTAGAAAATGCACAAAACTGGTTTCAGATATTTGAAAAATGGCACCTAGCAAAGCAATGAAGAAGGTAAAAAAAAACATTTATATTTGATTGAATTTGATTGATTTTAGAGCCGAAAAACTAGAGTGAGTCAAATTCCTGGACTTCATAGCACCTTGGTAGGTTGTGTTCTGAGCTATGCCACACTTGTATGATTAATTTGCACAGAATTGAACAAAAACTTCGTTTTGGTTAAAAATTAAGATGATCAATAAACTATTTTTAATAATAGATCTTTCAACATATTCAGGCACTGATTTAAAACGTTTCAAAATCCGAATTGATGAATTTACAAATAATAGAACGACTGTAAATTATAGTAATTTTTGTTCAAGTTAGAAGAAAGTTCAATGCCTCGAAATTTAAACCGACAAAAATTGAGCAGACTAAAGAAAGCCCGACAATGTAATTTTTCATACATACATACTCCGAAAAAACAAGGCTCGGGCGATATTCGAACTGCAGACCTTAGAGTGCGAGAGCACTCGCGTTACCTTTGGTCCAAGTGGGACAGATCCGGGAATCTCAGAAATCCCCCGATAAATTTCTAGATTGCCTCTGCACCAAATAATAAATATGTTAGAATTTTTTAGCTCAAAATTTCCTTTGCGACCAGTTAAAACTTACCTGATTTTTAAATTCATTTTAAAATCAGGTTTTCTGACAATTGAATAAATTTAAATATATGTTGCCTCTCGTTTTGAAACATTTATTATTCTCTTCTGCTTTTTAGTTTCCAGTCTTTGCTTCGCCGTTTGGCTTGTTTGATCACACGTGTGGCTCACGCTCAGAATGCAATCTGATCATCACCTCTCACCAATACACACATTCGATTGGTAATTTTATCTCGTACATAAAATATCTTTTTTGGATGATTTAATTTTGTTCAGACCGAAGATGAATCACAGTCTCAAGGTCACGAAGAGTCCGGCTATGCTGGCATGGAAGACTGGATGCAACCAAAGCAGCTTTTGAAGCCTGACGATCAGCTGGAATTAACAGAAGGCGTGAGTTTACTGAGCAGAAAAAAAGCAAAAATTTTATAAATTTGAACTAATTTTTTTGAATTACGTTTGACATTTCAGGAACTTAAGGAAGAAGTGACCCGTATCTTGACTGCCAATAACCCTCATGCACCAGACAATATTATTCGCTTCAGTTTCAAAGTAAGCCGACTGAATTAGGCTAGAGAACTAAAATGATGAAACTCCCTCAGAGATTAGATATTATTTTCTCTATTTTTGTCATCAATGTTCAGATAGGGTTTAAATGAGCTCTTCTATTAAAGCCTTGAAACATCATGCTAATTGTTTTTAGGAGAATCAGTTCAAGCAAGTGGCTCACGTGGACCAGCTAGCAGTCCATTTCACTCTTGATGGAAACCTACTTCACAAGGATTCAGAAGATGCGAAACACCAAATGGCCAGACAGGCGCTCTCAGAATGTTAGTTCTTTTTGGAAGGAGATGTAGCTCTGATGATATGTAGCTCTGAGATGTAGCCCTGGTGATAAGCAAGGGTATTGAAATCGGTTACTAGACTTTTTTCCCGTAAAAACTTTGTCCACAGGATCTTCAGTTCTAGAGGATCACTTCTAGAGGATCTTTCATCTGACATGCTCAATTTCTTGAAAAATCAAGTAAAAGTACTATCACTTAGCTAGTAATTAGTTCAAGCCCGTTTCAGATTGTAATGATCTTTTCAAAAAAAAAAACATCTCATTTTTTTGGGTTCCTGGTTTTCGTCCTAGTTTCTGCAGGTTCAATTTATGTTTTTTTAAACGCCATTTTTTTTGTCTGGTAGGGTTTTTATTGGCTTACTTTTTAAAGCTTGGGTTTTTCCAATTTAAATAGTTTTTACCATAACTGAAACTTCACAAATTTTGTAAATTTACGATGTCTGATTTTGAGTTTTTCTTTTTTTATTGTTTCTAAATATTCAAACAGTTTCAGTTTATGTTATATCCAAAATGTCAACTTCTTTTGCTCAATTTCTCAACAGGTTTCGACCCAAAATTTATCGCCTTTGTTGCCGCTCGGTAAATAATTTCCATTTTTAAGGGTTGTTGATGAACTTAGTCTGATACAAATTACGTATCGTCTGATACAAATAAGGTGCCCGCGTCGTTAACTTTGGACCTAGAACGAAAGATTCTAGAACTTCTTTAAATACAAGTTGTAATGAAAGTTGTTCATGGGAAAAAAATCTACTACTTGATTACAAGTCATTTGCTCTCGCACGCAAAACAACATTGTTTCAAGTTGCATTTTAATTTTTAAGACGCATTACACGAATACTGATTGGTTTTTGTTGTTCTGACCTTTGAAAAAAAATTTCTGCTCGGTGTTTTTTTTCAAATAAACTAGCGTTTAACTCACCTTCGGTGCTTCGAAATTTTACGACAGCTCATGAAAAACCGCTTATATTGGAAACAACATCTGCAAACTTTTAGTGTACTCTGACTGCACCCAATTACAGGGTTGGTAATTTCGAACTTTTAAATTTGTTTTAAAATCCCATTTTAAAAGCGTCATCTCGAAAACCTAAAGGGCCTCTGGAGAAATTCGGAAGCCAGATTTGCAACCACTGAGAGTCCCTGAGAGCACCCTACTATAGGGTTAGGAATCCAAAACTGTGAATTTTTTCAAACCAAGGTTTCCCGAAAAAAAATTGAAAAAAACGTTTTATCTCGGAAACTAAAAGAATTTGAGCATTCATATTAAGAGGCAAGATTTGAGAGGCCTGGGTGTACGCTGACAATAAGATTGTATCTTCATCAACTTAGTAGTTTCAAATTTTGTGAATTTTTTTGTAGATAAGTTCTCAGAGAAAAAATCGAAGTTTTGAAAAAATCGAAAAACGTCACATCTCGGAAACTAAAAGCATTTGAGCTGTCGCGTTTAGCAGTCGCATGTGGCAAGATTTGCAACTCTTTAGAGTACCCTGACAACCCCAAACTATAGAGTTGGGAATTTCAAATTTTGAAAAAAAATTAATTTAAACTTTCTGAAAATTTGGAAAAAATCACAAAAAACGTCACATCTCAAAAACTACAAAGAATTGAGCAGTGATATTTGGAGGCAAGACTCGCAATCCTTGAGAAAACTTTGACAGGACCTAAAAACAGGGTTGGGAGTTTCAGATTTTAAAAGAATAATAATCATTTAAGTTTTCTGAAAATTTTTGAAAAATTCACAAAAAACGTCATATCTCGAAAACTACAAGGATTTGAACAGTCATATTTGGAGGCGAGATTTGTAACTCCTTAGAGTACTCCGACAGCACCCAACTACAGGGTTGGGAACTTCAAGTTTTCTAAACCATTTTGTTAATTGAAATTTCTGAAAATTTTTGAAAAAATCTCAAAAATCGTCTTATCTCGTTAACTAAAATGATTCGGGCATTCAAATTTGGAGGCCAAATTCGCAGCCCCTAATTCAATATTGGGCTGCTTAATTTAAACTCGGTAAAAAAACCACTAAAATCAAATTGGAAAATCGAAAAAAAATTCTTAACCATTGCAATATACGATATAGCTTAAACATGCAAAAATAATACGTTGAAAAAGCTTAAACATGGCGAGATAGTGAAGCCCGCATTTAAATATATAATAGATTGAAAAATTCAGTTATAAAACTTTGGACTTTTGCATGACAAACTACCTGATTTTGTTGATCAACAAATTTGTTCTTGGGCGACACAAATCAAGACAAGTAAGCCAATACAACATAATCCAAAAACATTTAGACCGAATGAGCTTTTAAGCTAAGCAAAAGAAAACATACAAAGTCGAGGCTATTGTTTTAACACAGAGGCTAAGTTGCACTTCGCACACACAGGCAAAAATATGACCGATAACGCTAATGGGAAAAACTGAATGAGTAAAACTTTGAGTCTACAAAATTTCTTAAATGAAGCACGCCAATTATGAGTCTACATAATTGCTAAGTGAAGCAAGCCAGTTATGACGCATTAGCAGTACCAGTCAATTTGAAAAGAAATTTACCAACTGACATGCCTCAATCTATAAAGCGGACGCATTATAACTAGTATATGATAAAGTTCATTAAAAACATCCGACCCTGCCCAGGTTCGAACCCTCCTATTTTGCTGCTGGTCTCCTTCCCTACTTCCATGCTATAGAAACATGATACCTTGAAGCTAAAGTGCTATTTGTAATATAATAGTCTGTGTTAATATCCTTTCCTTAGCATTGGCTGTACTTATTAGCTGGATCAAAATGAACATATTTTGTCTTTACAATTGCATCGCAACAATATTTGGGACTTAGGTTGGAAAAAAAAAGACGTTTCATACTATAACACAAGCTATGATTGTGTAATAAGTTACAAGAAAATCTCAAAAACACTTGCTTTTACGTCTAAAATTGCTGACTGCATAAAAATTCTACAATGTGGCAACTAAGCCGAGAGAACATAAGCAGACAGACAAGAGTCCGACAATTCAACTTTCCCGAAAAATTATTATAATTTCATACTGAAACAAAAACAAGGTCCGACCAGGACTCGAACCTTAGGGTATAGACACAGCCACGTCATCTCTGGGCCAAAAAGAAAGCAGTCTCGAAGTTGCTAAGGTCATCTAACAAGAATTCTTCTATTTCAACTTAAGATGTAAGAAAATTTGCTTACCGAAAAAAAGTCTAGTTCCCGTTTACAAGACACTTGTTTTCGCAAGAGTAAAAGACGAGACTCAAACCAGGTTGAGACCCTGCATGTTACAACTGTCTTTAGAATGTTTGAATTAAATTTCAGCCTAAAATATTCCCACCCCCACATTCAATGTTAAATATATTCATATATTTTGCATCCATTCACCCATTATTTTGATTAATTACTAGATTTAATTGGCTGGATTTACTAGGCGCTCTAATTATCCAAAACTAGCTAAAATAGTCCTGATAAAGTAACCTTAACTTCATGAAAAAAAATCGCAGGTGAAACACATTTATAATTTGAGCAAGGCATCGATATCTTCCAAATAAGGACAAACTTTAATTTTTTTCCTCAAACAAAAAACAAAAACTAAACGAACTAAGTAGGTTGCTTCACTTCGCTCAATTATACTTAAATATCACGCTGCTGTAAAATCGTTTGTTTTCTTACCCTTCCCACATTTTTTTATGATTCAAAATTTTTTAATTTAGGATACAGTTCAGGATTGGATATAGGATTTTTGTTGAGGGTTTCAATTATTAAAAATTTGAAAGCACCATTGAAAGTTTGAAGGCCGACCACACTGGTTTTGAGGGGCTCCTAAAACATAAAAAAGACCGCATTCCGTTTCAGACGACTTATTTTTTTAAAACAAAAATAGGCCACAACTATTCTTCCACTTTCACTTTGGGACATTTCGACCAAAAAAATTTCGGTGCCACCCGGCAAACATTAGATGATCTTAAATGATTTATGGACACGTCAGCAAACTTATCAACATTGATTGTATTGCACTCAAAAGGACGAAAATTCGGTCCATATTCAAAAATTTTGGATTGGTTCAATATGGCCAAAACACATGAAGTTAGCAACTAATTGGGTTAAACTAATGAAAGCAAGGTAAAAGAATGAATCTTATTGCCTAGTCTTAGAACAACCGAAAAGTGTTGTAAACAGATTTCTCCTTCAGAAAAACTTTAGAGTCGGTCCACGAAAAATAGATGTCCTGACAAAGGAAAAGGGTGCAAGTATGATAGTAGAGTCCCTAAATTTAGATGGGTCCATGAAGAAAAAAATTTCATGCCTTAAAATCTTCGAAAAATGGTTCGCATTTGGTTTTTTTTTAATTTTGCGGAACCCATGTCTTTCATGCTTGCTTTTTTCTGGGACCAGTAGCGTGCCGAGGGGGTGGTTGTGGGGGGGGGGGCGGGGGCAACCGCTCTTACCCCCCAATTCTGGTTGCCGAATTTTTCCGAAGGGTCCCCTGTGTTATAATTTCTTTTTGAGATCCAGTTTTGGCTGACCAACATCAAAAATTTTCTAAAGGCACCTTTGGCGCCGATATAACTACATTTGAGGGGGAGCGCGCGCCGAAAAAACGCATTTTTTTGGTCAAATATTTTTAAAAAGAGCTTTCAAAATTTACAGTGTTCATAGTATTTTCTGAGAGCTCGGAAAATCAATTGGTCGCCCTAAAAAAAAGGTCGACGAAATTTTCGAAAAACCGATCCCCCCACCCTCCTAGCAAATTTTCTGCGCAAGCAACTGTCTGGGACACAAGTATCATACTTGTACCCAGGGGCGGATCCAGGATTTTCTCGAGGGGGGGGGCGGATTTTCAAAAAAATTTCGGAAATTTAGACGACCTTTTTTTTTAGGTCAATCAGATTGATTTTCCGAGCTCTCCCAAAACAGTAAAAAGACCCTGTGTTGGCCAAATTTTCTGCGCTGTAGGCAATTTTTTTGAAAAAACAGGTCTAAAAAGCCGTTTTTG